ATGGTGATATAGATGGGGATGTTAATAGTAGAATTCAAGTTGGTTGGTCGAAGTGGAGGAATGCTTCCGGCGTTTTGTGTGATAGAAAAGTACCGCTTAGACTGAAAGGAAAATTTTATAAGACGGTGGTGATACCTGAAATGCTATATGGCGGTGAATGTTGGCCTTTAAAAGAGAAGCATAATAATAAGTTAAGTATTGTCGAGATGAGAATGATTTGGTGGATAAGTGGCTTTACACTTAGAGACAAAATGCGAAATGAATATATCCGTAATAGGGTTGGTGTAGCTTCTGTGACGGACAAAATTAAAGAAAGTCGTCTTAGATGGTTTGGTCACATTAAACGTCGACCATCTGATGATCCGATTAGGAGAGTAGATGTTTTAGATTCAACTTGTGTTAAGAAAGGAAGAGGTAGACCTAGGAAAATTTGGGCTTATTCTATTAAAAATGATCTTAATTTACTAGAACTAAATGAAAATATGACACTAAATAGGACGCAATGGAGAAAAAGGATTCATGTAGCCGACCCCACGTAGTGGGATTAAGGCTTTATTGTTGTTGTTGTTGTACTCCTACTCTACTCTATCGCGATGTTTTTAACCCGATGTGAATCTTTCGAGCATGTGCTTTAACCCGATGTTTTTCACAACTATGCAAACTCAGGGCATGCCATAATAGCAGAAGTTAGCAGAAAACATAACATGTTACATAAAAAGGGCATATTATGGAAAATCACATAATTAAAAATAGAAAAAGAAACAATGCAAAACAAATAACGACCTAATTATCGATTTTACAAGATGTTATAGCCAGACTCGGATGCCCACTGGATGCTCACCATAAGAAATAAGGAGCTAAAAAAGCTGTTGATATTATTCAAAATTTATTTTAATTAAAACAGAATAGTGAACTGTTTGTTATAAACTAAAGATCAAAACAATAAATTTGTTTGGGTAAAATAATGAATCTTCCAAGTTCTATTACACTCAAGTTTTGAGTACGTTGCCAAATAATCTGTCTAAAACACAAAGTTGGAGATATTCTCATTTGGGGAAAATAAAATCATCATTACTATTTATGAAATATTCCTTATCATTCATGCTCTCTCCTCCATCGCTGAATTTGTAGCCCTGTTTGGTTCCTTCAACTTATCATCTTCATCCTCAACATTTATTAACCTAAAATAGCAAGTTGCTACACAAAATTCATCTAATTTGTTCTGGAAAATGTATCCTTGCCTCTCCAAATTTTAATGCACTTTTTAAATCATCCCGTATCAAGTAATCAGCAAGAAAATAATCCTCTACAACAATGGAAGTACTATTACCCATCTCACAAGTCAAACAAAGCCACTCACCAAGTAAAGCTCTAGTAATAGCAACCACTTGGGAGGAGTGCAAGGCAAACTAGCCTTTGCAATGCCATGCTTGAACACCTATTGAAGCCCTAATCAACCTTAAAGATGATTTGACATTATACATAAAAATCAAAAAGCGCATTTATAGATGTACACGTCAGCTAAAGCAACCTATGGGGCGTCCTTACTAAAATGGTACACCCTAAGCAATCATTATGCATGGAATAGACTACAACGGAATCATTTATTTGAGGCATGCCCATCAATCTACACATCCCATTGACTAAAAAATCCATCACCACAATAAAAAAGATTATTTATATATTTGTATAGAAACTGAGTGTAATGGCACGAACGTTTTTGATGTGATGCACTTTCACACATGAAAAAATAACAAATATTGATACGATACTTTGATGTGAAATAAATGGCAATGTGCCCTATTAAAAAAAATATATAAGCATAAAAAATCCATCAAAATGAGATAAATCAAACATACGATGCAGAAAGTGCCATAAAGCCCCTTTGGACACTTCTTTCCGGTAATTGTTCCATCCCCGCCTTTACAACCCCCGCTATTACCCGGTCCTCCACTGCAAGAATAAAAACTTGTTAAAGAACATGAAAATTAATTTGAATGGAAAATATCAACACAAACCCTTGTAACAACAATATTAAATTTTTATCAAAGAAAATGTGATAAAGTAAACATACATAAATTCAAAATACAAGCTTATCATTCATTCTTCAAGTGAACACTTAGCACAAAAGGAAACAATAAAACTCTAAGAGTTTTAAACTAAGGAAAGACTTTCGAAAAAGAGAAACAGTATATATCCTTAATTTTTTCTCTAAACATGCATAAATTTAAGTGAAAGTGATTTCCATAGACTTTTTTTCAATAAATTGGCAGATGTGATGACTAAGGCATCATTTGTTAAATCATGGATGGCGTTCATGCATAAATAGACTAGTTCTTCTTAACTAATCACGAAATCAAGGAGAGCATGGAACATTGTGCTTTTCATTGCATGTTTTCTATTTTCTCTCCGATAAATCAAAATTACGATATGTTAGCATTTTAGAAATATGTGCGACAAAATAACATTACAAACAAGCCGATAATCTTGCTATGGGTACCAAGAGATTTTGTTTTCTTTAAGTTTTCTTAAATGATAGACTTGATAGTTATAAAGAACATAAAAAATACTGACATATTAGCTAAATATCATCCTCTGGATTTCTAAAACCCAAGTATTAGATGACTATGATTATCTTAATAGTACGTATAATAGACTAAAAACAATTATGACATTTTATAATGAGTATTTTTACATGGCTTGTTCATTTCTTTGCCACTTCATGTGATGAAAATATGAAATTAAAAGCCCCTTGATGCATGCTTCAATGTAGGTCCCATGCTTTAACCTCAGAACAGCCTACCGTGCTTGTTCAATGTTAGAGGTAACAAATGAGGCACAATGAGCAAACTTTTACAGATGCTATATGGTGTGAAATAAATTCAAAACAAGCTAATGTAATATGGAACAACAACCTAAATGCTCACGAGGACATAAATCAACAATGGGTTGATAAAGAACAGGGCAATGTAAAGGAAAATAATCATGGCTTTCAATTTCCCTTTTTAATATTTTTATTTGTTGGACAAGTCTAGGAGGAAAATTTAGAAAACATGCAATGAAAAGTTAAGGGTTGCTGAGATGAAAATGCTTAGGTGGATGAGTGGCCTGACACTTATAGACAAAATGCGAAATGAACATATCCGTGATAGGGTTTGTGTAACTCCAATAGCAAACAAGAATAGAGAGAGTTGTCTTAGATGGTTTGGGCACATTAAACATCGACCATTTGATGATACTATTATGAGAGTAGATTTTTTAGATTCTACTTATGTTAAAAAAAGCAGAGGTAGACCTGAAAAGACTTGGGCATATTTGTGTAAAAAATTATCTTAATTTGTTAGAACTAAATGAAAATATGACACTCAATAGAGCACAATGGAGAAAAAGGATTCATGTAGCCAATCCAACTAAGTGGGATAAAGACTTGTTGACAAGTATAGGAGGAAAATATATAAGATAAGAGAAAAATAGTTTTGAGAAGTTCAAAAGGAATAAAAACTTCTTAAAATAAGAAAGGGAAGTGGTAAAAAGACAAAATCAAGATGAAAACCTAAAAGGGAGAAGAATCTCGACAGAAATTTGAAAAAGCTAAACAAAATCTTTAGCCCATCAGCTCTCACAGAATTAAAAGATCTTGGGACCCATTATAGAAATAGCTTTATTAAAAATAAAGAAACTAACCTTCAAAAAAATACGATCAACCCAAACCAATCCAAAATGATAAATGAATATTTTATCTTTCAGACGAAGGACAAATGACAAAATAAAAAACTAAACATTTTAACAAAAACAAGACTCAATTCTAATAACTAACATTTTAAGCATCTTACACTGCAGCCATTCAAATAACCTACAAAGAACTCTAATGAATAAAGATGAAATGTTGTTAGAGGGAGAACCAAAGATTATTAATTGCACTGCAGATCTATCAACATTCATCATGGCAAGAGAGATGAATGGAAAATTCATCCTCAATAAGAGATTACAAATGGGACAGCCATCCTTAAGCGAAGAAGACAAAGGGAAAAAACCTCACTGCATCAACAATGTAAATCGAAGGATCTAAGTGGTTGAGATAAAGACAGCCTAAGAGCTACAATTTTTAAGTCTTTTTAAAAATAAAGAAACTGTCCTAAAAAATTATTAAAAACCAAACTAGCAATAAAGGATAAATAACAGTTTTACCCTTCCAACAAAAAAATAATTAATTAATAGTTCTGACTACTTTATTCCTCATTGAGTTACCATGTCTTTTTATTTTGACTGCCTTCCCAATGTTTTCTCATATAGGTAAAATTATCAACTTGTATTTTCCAAGTTATTTAAATTTGTTTCGTTTGACATCCAGATTTCTGACAAGATTTTTTCATGATTTCTAGCTTTTGAGCTAGCCTTCTGGTTGAAGCTCAGTCTTATATATTTTTGTGAGCCATTGAAAATCTGATACTTCAACGAATATACTTGCAACTATGTTTAAAGTACCATAGCTTGTGGCAGTCCCCCGATTAGTCAAAGAGAAGCTAAGTTGCACATTCAAAAACTCTGAAAGGTTGGCCTGTAAGATTGGGGTATCAAAACGATAGTATGAGCCGTAAACATCAAAATGTTTAAATTTGAATATCTAAAATATCAAAATAAAGTTCATAGCATTATAATCTACCTAATCAGAAGCTTCTAAGAAGCCCAGGGACAAATTTGAAGAAATGCATGCAAAAACTATTCAGTGAGAATAATAAAAAAAAACTTAAGAGTAAAATATAAGAAGGATCTGAACTTCTCCAAGTTATATTAGAACAGGTTTGGACACCATCAGGTTGCGTTATAATGATTCTTGTCCATATCCCACATGAAAAAAGTTTCTAATCTAAATAAAAGAAAACAGACAAAAAAAGCATTCTAGTATTTTCATCAAATAAGCCTGCGCTATAAACATGGTGGTCAATAGAGGTGTCAGTATGAATGTGATACAATAAAGATAAATATTGAGGAGAAAAGCTTAACCTTTTCTTACAACAATATAAAGAACTATCAATTGAAAGAACTTGACGAAATGGTTAAAATGTCGAAAAGATAAAATACTTGTGGTAAGCAATCTCCTTCAAGTACCTAAAAGGATGTACGTGGAATGCATGCATGACAAAAAGCCATATGATTTCTGATTAATGGTAGCCAAATCATCTAAAGCAATAAACAAATTAAATTACATTGTTTCAACTAAATACTTCACCAATAGGAGTTTAAACATATGAAACTCACTTCAAGACCAGCATTGTTTTATCCTACTCAACATACATGTTTCCATAGGTCCTGTTTGAACTACAGAACAAGTTGATTATTAATGAAAGGAAATATAAATTATCAATATGTCCGCATAAACTAGTAGCTCTGAGCTTTATATTTATTTAATCATGGAGCCTTTCATCGTGAGTATGGATAATTTTTAAGATGATTCAAATAACATCTAAAAGAGCCAAAGAAAAATCTATTGTGATTTGGGTATATTTTCTTTTTAAAGGAACTACTAACATTTTTTTTGGATCCCAAGCAGCACCTTGTTCTAGTGTAGAGCTCACGACCAAAAACTCACACCTAGTCCCACTAAACCACGAAATTATATTCAATTTTATTCTCAGACAAGTCTCAACAATACTAATCCTACAAAGCGTTAATCTAATGCAACTGCGTAATTATTGCTAACACCTATCTTTGAGACAAATAATAAGTTGCCAGCCTACATGATAAGGCCAAGAAAAAGTAAATCGTTACAAAAAACTTATAGCCTATATACATTCTGATCTTTCTGATAACTTCCCTTGCACATATCAGGGCTGAACAAAAGTGTGGAAAAGGCCATGTACAGATTAAGAATTTCAGGGCAGAGTTCCAATTTGATTACAGAATTCAACAGACATAGAAAAGGATAGGAAATCTAACTTAGTTTTTCAATCAACAGACAAGCTTAAAATTAAAGGAATAGTAGCCTCACAATACTTCAAAAGCAACTAAACTACAGCCTAAATATTAGTTCCTGATCATCAAAAAAAGTATCACCAGAAACTATTCAATTAATTATGCATGATAAAAAGTTCAGTTGTCATCAACGAAACAGAAGTGACATGCCTTGATGTAATTGTTCCATTAACAGAAGCAAATTGTACATATTCATCTCCAGTAGCCATATTAGACCAATCAAAGTGAATCCTTCCCCCACCACCTCCACCGCCGCCAGTTGGACCACCATTTCCACCAGCAACTGACAAACTTGAATTTTTTTCAAGTACCAGTGTTTGAAGGAACAGAAGAATGGTACCACCAGATCCACCACCCAACCCACTCATCAGAGATCCATTATAGTTCATAGTTTTGTAGCTTTGGCCATCAGCTTTCAAAGATCCATAAATATCTAATCTGGACAGAGGCCAATTCATGGAACCCATAACTGCAAAATCTCACATTTAACCATAGAGCAAGTATTTTGAAAGAGCAAGCATTAGGAAGAGAAAGAGGGCATGAAGAAGCAATTAATTCAGGAATGGTAACAATGTTGAAGAGCAGGAAGGAAAAAAAATATTTATAAAACCATCATTTGAATAATGAAGAAGCATTCAGTGGAAAATAACAAAGTACATAAGCTACCAACTAAGCAGAAAATAAAGCAGTACATAAGCTACCAAATCTAATCCAGTGAACTTAACGTCAAATAAAAAATAATAGAGTTTCTAAGGATAAACAGCACGATCTAACAAAAAACAGTCCTAAAAACAGTTACTAGCATGTTATACTCACTAATTTTGACATTATCTCCTACATCATCATCATTAGCCTTATCCCAAAAATATGGGTTGAATATCTCCACAGAAAAACCAAAAACTGAACAGAGCATATGAGATCCTAAAACCTAGGAAAACTTTCAAATGAGATAATAACTTCCGAAGTAATAATAGAAGAGGCTTGCTCTCCGTCCCTCACCAGCCCTATACCTCAAACAAACAAGCAGTAAAAGGGAGAAACTTCTCTAGACCTTACTAAATAGGATTCAAAATAAAAAATATAGATATTCAAAAACGTTTATTATCAGCTGAGGTAGGAAATAACAATTATAAAACCTACAACGGAGTGCAAATTGCAATTTGATGGGTAAATAAAGGCCAAAAACAATTTTTTTTTTTTAGCTTTTGTATTACAAAGAGAACTACTGAGAAAAAAAATAGATGTTAAGAAAGCATACATACTAATAGATATAAAGCAAAGAAATCAACAAGAATTCAGCTAAATAAAAATGCATCCACCATATCACCAAGACTAATGTAAAAAAAGTTCAAACCTATCATTCCACCACCAGCTGCACCATTTTCATTAAATATATTGGATCCTCCGCTTCCACTGCCCAACTCACATGGAAGGTCAGCATCGCCATATGCTTGGCCGCCTTCAATTTGAGTTCCATTATAGTACCCAAAGCCACCTCTGCCTCCATGCCCAGCACCTCCTCCCACTCCATGCTTCAAAAATTTCCCTGTACCAATGCCCTCTTTGCAACCTAAAACACAACCGAAATCAGCTTTACTTCTGGAGTGGGATTGCAAAAGAAAGGGTAGCTAACTGCAAGAAAAACCAGAAGGAAGAAAGAATTTTAAATTTATATTTTTATTCCGGAAAGGATTTAGGACTGCTGGGGTTAAGATTTAATGCAAGGCTGAATACAGACTGACATAGTTTAAGCCTGTAAGGGGTGGGTCAGGATTGAGAAACTTGATAAATGAGGAGAGGGAGGACCTTTAGTTTGATAGGGAATTGAATTTTAAGGTAGTATGTGTCCTTGATTACATAGGTTAGATTAAAAAAGAAAGGAAGAATTATGTTTTTTGCTCCCTTTTTTTCATCAGTTAAAAAGGATACAGTGAATTACCTAACCCGGTTCCACTTATCTCCCCCTCAGTATGAATAACAACTGTCCTAGCCCTGTGAATGTGAATTATAGTCCCTCTCACTGAGCCTTGGATAGTAAGGTCTTCAACACGACATATCTGCAAATTTATAGATATAAATAATGATAAATCTGCTTACTGAAATTAATTAACAAGCTAAATTAAATTAAGATAATCTGCTCAACGAGAAAAAAAATTTTTGAGTGTTAGGAAACTCTCAAAAATGACCAAGTGATACCCGATTTTTACCATAAACAACACATAAATCTCAAATGATTTAACTAAAAATAAATGCATACACACATACTCCACACAAGCATGTATAATTGTACATGCATTATTATTTTTCCATTAAGATGAAAAAAATATAAAGGCAAAACATAGCAATAGTTGCCAGGAAAAAGATCTACGCGACCAAAAAAAAGGCCTTCCAATCATCAAATCTGGTTTTAACATTTCCGGTCAAATGTTCAACTATTTGATTTAAATTATTTCTGGTACCGCAGTAAGAAACAAGGATTTCAGATCACAAGATGAAATGTTCAAATATTATTCACGTTAAATTTAGAAAAACCTACTTGCAATGTCAAAGATAAGGAGTTGTTCACATGGCAGTCATCAGGAGGAATGAGTAGCTCTTGTGGGCATGTTTGACTCTCACAGAGCGCTTGAGCGGCCCTGAGCAAGGCACATTTCAAGCCAATTTAGTTCTGCAAAAGATTAACAAAAACTAGCGGTCCTTATTTTGCATGCGACAAATAAAACATATGACTCACGAACTGCTTCCTATATCATTATCCACTGGAGCTTGCAGCAAGGAACCTGGCCCAACCTGCACAGTGAAAATGACAGAACATTTCCTCAGCATAATTATAGCACTGCAAAAGTTTAGATACACGCAAAGAGTGAAAATAGTCCAATGATTGTTTACATGGGGCCATTTTAGTCTTGCAGCTCGTAACAGTGTTGAATTAGCACCGAGACTTTTTAAATTAGAGCAAACATAGTCCTTTGTCGGGACTATTTTAAGAAAATGGGAGGATTAAATTGACACTTTTATGGACTCTGAGACTAAAATAACCCCCTCCAAAAATTCAAGAGACTATTTTGGACCTTTTTCTTGTTTAGATACCCTGACAATACTTTGAAACATAGCAAACATGTTATCCATTATTTTGATGCACCAAATGAACCATTTTTGCTGATTAAATTGGTTGACCGACAAGCCTGCTTTTGCTTTTAAACAGAAATAAATGGCTTGTACTACAGATTTTGTAATTAATCACAAGCTTGCTTTATAGATTTCCTTAAGCTTAATTTGCTTCATCGGAACCAAATGCATAAATTAAACTTTTACCAATTTTACAGATAGCTGCAGTCCTTGAAGACAATAGCACTTCTAATTTGTGTTATTTGCTTATCCAGATTTCAAGATGAATAGCATAAGACTAATGATGAAAATTATGGCATCTCGATATTAAAATGAAAAAATGGTCATTCCTAGTAAATATAAACCATAAGAAAAGCAAAACATGAGAGATATAAAAATCTTGAAACACAAGCACAAATGCTTAAATTTATATTGCTGCATTCATTTCTCTGATTTCAAAAAAAAAAAAAAAAGTTGTGTAAACTATTTCACATGCATGCACCTCAATGCATGAAAATCCTTCAAAAAAGTCAGGCAAATAGCCTTAGAAACATAACATGAAGAAAAAAAAACACCATACACAAAGGTCCACACCTCTATATTATAAAACAGCGACAAGAATAACCTCTGAGCTTTGATTGCATCACCCGAGCCAGACAATCTGAGAAGTCCTTGTCCATAAACCCCCAAGTCTCCATTTGAAGAGATGACAGAATTTTGCTGTAGCAGAAATATAAATTACTTTTCAAGCAAAAGAAAACCAGTAAAACTTCATAACGCTAAAGTTAAAGAAAATAAACTAAACTATAAAATTCATACCTTTAGAACAATAAGGTTCCTAGCTTCAAGCATGGACGCACCAATATCATGATCACCTCCATCATCAATCTGAATTTTAGAATCCCACATGAGAAGCATTTTGACATACATTCTGAAGGCACCATAAACCTGTTATGACAAAAAATCCAATGTGAGAGAGAGAGAGAGTCAGCCAGCCAGCAAACCATATTTGTAAGACCTTTTATAGCTCAAACGACCAGATTGTTTAGAAAGCGTTATAACAGGGATTACAATACTTTTTTTTTTAGCGCATGCGTGTCCGTACACTAAAATATATGATACCAGAGTAACCCAAAACCTCAACCAAATAATACTTTTATTGCTGAAAATTAAAAGGTTTTACAAACAAGACACAAACACAAAACAACGACGTAGGTTGGTGAGGGTGTGTCGTGGTTTGAGAAGAAGCAAAGACTATGGAGGGTTATATGATGGAAGGACAGCAACCTGGTGATTGGTTGGCGGGATTGATTGGGAGGATGGAGGAAGGTCGGCTGCTGGGAAGCAGCATGAAAAGGGCATTACGATAGCCTACAGGAGTACTAGTTGGAACCAGCGGCAGTAGGCAGGAGGAAGAGGGCTTATGGCAGTCTGCAGACAGGGGGGACTGGGCTAGCGACAGTAGACAGAAATGTGAGGGGTAAGTTACCACACCCTGCATGAAGGCTCCGGTAGGGGGCAGCAAGCAATAAAAGTACGGATACACACCACCTCGAGATGAGTATTTTTCAGAGCACCTCCGTGCAGTTGGATAAAGACCTAAAAAGCAAAATGGGACGTCGGAAGCTGTCCTAACAAAAAACTCAAATCCAAAACTAACCCTAACAAAAAAAAACAATATATATATAGTAGTAAATAAATAGAAAGGGGTAGGAAACCCCTCCCCTTTGGCGACAACTCTAGCCTAGAACAAAGGGCCCGCCGGCCTTTTTAAGCCTCCTTTGTTGACCCGTTCCAGCAGCCAATCAGCCCACAGGTGAGCCAAGCGTCAATATAAAATCACCAAAATAGTAAACATCATGAACATTAAGATAAGGTTAATGATATACTTAACGGAATAGGTTCAAAAGTTTTGATGCTTTTGAAAGCATTCAATGAGCATCAGTTGAAACAAAGGATCTATAAAACCAACCTCATGTGGATGGGGATAAGGCCAATGCTGGTAACTAATCATGGTACCGTCTAGTTTGCTTGACGTGGAGCGGGACGCTTTCTCGTGAACCAGCATTAATGCGGGAAGTCGAGGGCGTGGGGGCGCTGCAAATGTCGAACGCCAACCGGCTTGGTCCAGGTGGGAGAAGGATCGAGCGGTCCTTGCGCTCAATTCCGACTTATTTGGATTGGGACACTCCACTTTACCCTAAGACCATATATAAGTTATTTTTGTTGTTTAAGGTCCATTTTGGCATGAGTTTATTTAGGACAGCCACCGGCGTTCGCTTCTCCCTTGGAGGGTTGTATCTCTCTTCTGAGGTAATGATTATCTTCCCCTACCCCCTTCCGCATCCTCCCACATCACTCCTGATAGCCCCTTCACCGTTGCAGCCTCGCAAAACAAACTCTTTTGGTTGTTTTCTACAATTTCTGCTTTCTAGCCGCCTTCTCCGCCTCTTGTTTGTTGTTCCAGCCGCTCATATTCAGTCCCCTTGCAACCTTACTGTTGTTTCGGCCATGAGAAGCGCCCCTTTGTACCCACTTCACGACCACGTAGCCACTATTTCAATCCCTCCCACTTGGTACCACCATTGTTCAGTCTTCCATGCCCATTGTCATCGTTGTTTCAACCCTCCATCTTCGCTATCGCTACTATTCTAGCCCTCCCCCTTTGTTGTCATCATCCCAGACAGTTGTGCAACATCGATATCTACAGCATACTTGTTGCCCGAAACCAAGAAAACATTTTTCTTGTTGTTTTCTGCCTGCAACCACCTCGTCCACCATCCCGCCACCTTCCACCCCTCACCGGTCGCCACCACGACCTCGAGATCCACCCTAATTTGAGTTGGATTGTTGATTCTATTTTTATTTTCCTTCCAAGTGTGTGAGTTGCAATCGTCATTCCTATTTGATTATTAGTAATAATATTTGTTTGTCTATTGTTGTTTGGTTAACTCTAATATCATTCTGTATCAGATTTAGTCTAACCTTAGTCCTATACCAGGGTTTCTGGCATTCATCAATATCCAACCATCTCCACCCAAAACTTTTCTATTTATTGATTTTTTAAACCGACCATCCAAAAATTTTCTTTCCCACCCTACAAAACCCTATACACCTGCATCAACCTACAATTGTCGGAAGCCTGATCAAGGAGAAAGCAAACGATTTCGCTATGGGAAATGTTGTGCTGGAGCCCGATCCCGATCCCCCAATCCTACTTCCCCCTCGTGCGCCCGATCGCAAAACATGTGTCTCCTGCCTGGCGTCGATCGCGACAGAGGAATTGTTCCCGCCTCTGCCGTTTCGCGAATAGTTGTGCCTACCTGTGCGCGGTAAGAGGCATCGCAGCGGCTCTCCTACAGTTCACGGCACAACCTTTTGTGTTCTTCTTCGAGTTTCCTCGGGATAGAAGAAGAAAAGTGCAAGAAGTAGTTCTTTGCGGCAGAAGGAAGAAGAAAGAAGAAGATCATTCTCCCTTGGCTTCTTCTTGGTGGCTTGTGGCAGAAAAGAAATTGGGTTTATTTCTCTTGTAAGTTTATCTTCTTCGGTGTATATCGGTGTAGAGTTTTTTCAGTGTATCTCGGTGCAGAGATAGAAGAACAGAGAACAAAGTTATCTTCTTCGGTGTATATCGGTGTAGAGTTTTTTCGGTGTATCTTGGTGCAGAGATAGAAGAACAGAGAACAAAGTGATTACTCTTGTAAGTCGAGACGATCGACTGATGTAAATTTCTCAAGTAGTAAAATCTGCTGCAACTCTGTGGACATAGGCAATTTGTCAAATCACGTGAATCTGTGTGTTCCGCTATGTTACCGTTTTTTGTGTGAATTTTCTCGTTCTATTTTTTATTTCATCCAAGATCGTTCTCTTATTTTATTTCTATATATACACCACAACAACTGGTATATCTCACAACAGGAAATTCACAAATATGTGTACAGGAGGATTTCTATGGAGGATATGTAGTGTGAAACCCGCCAACTGCAACTGAGGCTTACCGCATTCAACATGAGGCAATCTAGATGGGTCGCCCGTAGCTACAACGGTGACTTCCGAGATCAAAGGAATGGAGTGAATTTCTTACATCATACGGACGCCAGACACGAAGAAGCTCTACCCTGAAGACTTGACCTTAAAATTCTGAGAAGTAAGAGTTTTGAAGTGGATTTGCCATATTTCGATGGTTACATAGATCAGAACGAGATCATCGAGTCGATTTGGACTTGTAATGTGTTTTTGAGTGTCGAGACGCCCAACCAAGCAAAATGGTAAAACTAATTGTCGGCAAGTTAAAGAAGAGTATATTATTTTGGTGGCAAATTTTGAAGTACCTACGTCAGCACGAGAGAAAAAACAAGATCACTATCTCATCTGAGATGAAATGGGAGATGCAACGTCAGTAGCTACCAATGCACTATAGACCGGAAGTTTAGACAACAATTTTAAAAGTGAAGAGACCAACAACCACCACATTTTACAGATAAGATTCAACACCAGAATCTTACAATCATGTACATCCAAGGGAAAATCCAAGCCAACCCCGCTGGAGAAGAAACTAGTTCTGAGTGGAAAATAAGTAGAACCAATCCATAGTCCCAAATCCATCACAACCAGGGAGTGTTTTTAGTGTCATGGATCTACCGAACCAAGAGACCAAGAGAACGATCTCTTTTACGAATCAGAGAGCAGTTAAAGAGAAATACAATGATCCAGAAGAAGATGAAGTCTTCAGAGATGTTTCTCAACTTCGAGCCGACGAGGAAGATATGTCAGTGATTCCAGTTGAACCCAGGAGAGACTCCAGCTGAGTAAACAGTTGTTTTTTTATAAATTAGTAAGTCTGAGGCAATGAGCGGTCATGCAAAGTACAAGATTGTGGTGTCTCAAATTACATTTTGCATAAGTTCGGAGAAGCACCAGCAGGACTAGCATTAGATGTCCAAAAGAGTCAGGAGCCTGACGAGCCCATATTTATTACGATGCAACACCAACTAAGAGAAATTTAAACTTTTCATGTATATAGGCCGCTACCTGAGTTGCCCCTACAAAGGAGGTTGTATATGTCCAAGATGACTCTTTTTGTGCCACTTTTGGAAGCCCATAGGAAATCAACTTAGTATTAAAATCGGGCCAGCATTGTACCCCCGACAGAGAATCAGACAGGATGGATGAACCGCGGTGTTGGAGACCACCTCAGAATCTTTGTGGTAAAGAACATTTTACAATGAGATTCAGATCCTTCACAAGAAGAAAAAGATATCTCTCATGAATGTTTACGTGTTAGTGTGGTATAGCCTACCAAAGATGTCATTCCATATTTGAACCCTCCTGACAACCTTGATATCAAATACATCTAGTCGAGTACAAGTGGAAGAAGCAAATTATAATTCTAGGGACTCAAGGGTTACTTTATGAAAATCTACGTCGATATGTAACTCCAACGCAGATTGTGCCAAAATATGATAGATACTTATTCTATCAGGACGTGCTTTCAAATTAAAACACCTACAGGATGACTTGCCAGAAGATTATGCCATTTTCGCCATCTGCAATTTGGTCGACTTGGCAAAATACTACGAGGAGGTAGAATTTTCCCCAAACCTGGGAGACTGATGTGAAGGGGGACACTTTCCCGTTGCCTTAATGCGGAAAGTTGGGAGCACGGGGGCGCCTATGCCCGACTCGGGGGAGCCATGCCTGTTCAGGCTGCAACTGTCACACGCCGACCGGCCTGGTCCAGGCAAGAAAAGGATTGTGTTGTCCTTCCTTGTGCACAATTCCCCCTATTTGGAGCGAGCCCACTCCACTTTAACCTAAGAATGTATATATGTTATTTGTTATGTTTTAGGTCAATTTTGACGCGAGTTTATGATACCAGAGTTAACTCAAACCACAATAGAAAAAGTAAATATGATTACTCCAAGCAAATAGAGGTTAAAATTAGAAACACTAAAATAAAAAATAGCAATTGACACACACAAGCACTCAACAAGGGCGGATCACTGGTGATAGCGGTGGCGCGGGGTGGAAAAGAAAATTGGCAAGTAGAAATAGCTAGGCAGCGGTTCGCCGGTTCCCCATTGTCGAGCAGTGAGTAGACAGCCTGAGGACGATGCGTGAGGGTTGTTCGAGTTGATGGCAGCAAGGGGAAGGTGGCAACGAAAGCAGTTGCAACGAGGACGCAGTAGAAAGTTGGTCGGCAACTGGCCAGCCGGTGGAGGAGGTTGCGAGCAAAGTTGGGAAGGAGACGGCGGTGGATCGGGAAGGACTGTGTGGGTTGTTGGGGGAATGGCAGCATGGTTAGCAGCGGACTGGAGGCGATGGCGGCAGGCTGGAGAGTTGGAGCAGCAATGGGGGTTTGGTGGACCTCAAAATAACCAGAGGAAGGTGGCTCGGGGCAAAGACAGTAAAAAAATTGTTGTCATGCGACCTGCGGCGAGGGAGAAAGTGTAGCAGCAAAGTGGGACGGATGTGAAGGGGATAAGGGAATATAATCACCAATTCGGGAGAGAGAAACAACAGGAGCAACACCCAATCCCTCAAATATAGCCATCGATAAATTGCAGGCCTGAGGAAATCAGCATTTCTCCCTGGCTGGGCACATCATGCTTATCAGACATCCTTAATTCCCATGGCAATGTTCCTTGTATCTAATATTGAACCTCCCAAAAACATTTTCAACCTGACGAAACAATCATGTAGATATTTTTTTGTGAAATAAGGGGCCTAATCAAAAGGGCCTGCATTACATTAAGTAGGATGATATGTGTAGGCCCAAAGAAGTTGGTGGGATCAGATATTTTTTTGTGAAATAAGGGGCCTAATCAAAAGGGCCTGCATTACATTAAGTAGGATGATATGTGTAGGCCCAAAGAAGTTGGTGGGATCAGTTTACACTCAAGGGTGAACTGGAAAAGCCTGTTAAGGACTCGTTTATTCTAGGATCTTCTTTCAAAACCTAAGAGTTTCTATTCTAGGTGTCTGCGTGAAAAATATGGCCATAACCCCTGGATACCCATGCAGGGCCTTGCGATGTCCACATCTTCTCGTCTTTTAATGAGTGGTGGAGAGAGTTTGGGGAATTACATCATATGGCAAATTGGCAATGGTAGGAAGGATAATGCTTTCAAGCAGATTTGAATTATGGATCTACCATTATTACGATGACCCACATTTGTCAATCTATATTTGGATGTGAATGTGGTGGTTGCTAGCTTTTTGATCCAAGGCCACTGGAATGATGCTCAACAGGAACGTTTTTTTGGTTCAGAACTTATTTTTCTCATTAAAAGAATGTTGTCGCTTGATATTGGACTCTTGCTTTATTTGCAACACTATTACCAAAATTGCTTACTGCAAATTGTTCGAGGAGGTCCCAAGTTGTACCCAATGGCTTGGAAAACTTCATCTCCATCCCCGTGAGTACATATTTTGTTGGATAATCTTCAAAGATGTTATGCCAACAAATTCATGGTTATGCAAGCACAATATTGGCGATGATTATAGATGCCCCTGGAGCTGTGAAGACATCGAGGATACCAGCCACATAACTGCTAATTGTAAGGTGCTTCGTGAAATTCTCAACATCTTGGATAAATGGGGTTTTCGAATGTTGAATTTAATTCTATCGAGCAAGCTCTTCAGTTTTTTAGCTCTTTTCCCAAGGGTACTCTCCTCAGTGGCAAAATTTACTGTGACGATGTTTACCAAAGTTGGAGAAGCAAGAATGCTAAGAAACATGAGCGCTCATATGGGACCCCAACTACTATGCCTGCTTCGGTCCTTGAGGCTATTACAATAAATTTTAATCACCTGGTGTTGGAGCAATGAAGCACTTTTCGCCTGCTAGGCTACCTTCCCCGATGACTTGCTTCCAACACTCCATCATAGCTATCGTTGTTGTTCTAGACCTCCCCCTTTGTTGCCATCATCGCGGACAGCCGTGTGATGTTAATATATGTTTTCTATTTGCTATCTGAAACTCAGAAAACTATTGTCTTGTTGTTTTTTGCTTGTCAACCACCTCGTCAACAATCCCTCCACTGTCCACCCTTCATTGATCACAGCCACCACCCTAAGATTCACCCTAATATGAGTTGGATTGTTGAGTAAGTTGTTATTTTTCTATCAATTGTGTTAGTTGTAATCGACTATTGGCTTTATTAGTAATAATAATTGTTTGTCTATTGTTGTTTGTTTAACTCCGGTATCATTGCTAGCACAAGAAGAGGGGTTTGGTTGGCAATAGACATTACAGGTACCAAACCTATGCTTCTTAAACACTTAATATGGTTATTAAGGGTCTGTTTGGGGTAGTTGTAGCTTATTGAATAATCTGTTGATAAGCTAATTAAAAATAATTTGTTGATAAGCTAATTAAAAATAATCTATTGATAAGCTAATTACATAAGCTAATTAAAAATAATCTGTTGATAAGCTAGGTGCGGCGGCTATTACAGATTTTTATTTTTTTGGAAAAGCTAGACCACAATCAGAAAGCTGCCACCGCACCTAAATTATTCAGTGTGAGAATACTGTTTTCAGCGTTTTCAAAAAGCATAAAATGCCAAAAAACGCATAAGCTGCCAAAATGCAGTTTTTCAAAACGCCACCGCACCAAATAAGCTGCCCCGAACGGGCCCTAAAACAGTGCATGCACTTTTTATAAATACTAAATGGTTCAGGACTTGCAAAAAATGTACCTAGTTAAGAAAAGGCAAATGATGATGATGAATCAAGATTATGTTCACACTAAAAAGGGTTTGGTTAAAATTAAAGATGATAGGTATTAATCTAATGCTTGTTCAGCCCATCTTATGGTTACCAAAACAGCACATGTGCTTTTTCGAAAATATAATGTGATTCGTGACATGGAAAAAATATGCTAGTCAAACAAAGTGATGCAACAACTGTGGCAAAGGTGGTGCATAATAAACTACAAAATAACTTTTCTCGCATAAGCTAAGCAATACTTTTGAGATATTTCTTAAGGTCGCACAATCATTCTCTATATGAATCTCTAAGTGCATCATTCACTTAAACCTATAAAGCACTTAAGAGGGGTCGCAGGGACGGCTGAGGGATAAATGAAAAAGTACAGAGGTATGGAAGTTGCCCTTGTTAATTTAAATTGTCAAGAAGTATCAACTCCTTCAAACAAGAAAGCATCAGAGGTTAGAAAATTAATCATTCAACAAAAACTCAACAAAAGATATAAAACATAGGAACCACAGTTCTGCCATGAAAAGTCCTTCATCTGTTCAAGTGGAATGTATAACCTAAAACAAGCTGAAAATGCAAAATAAAATGATATTTCAGAGAAGATACATGCCTTTATTACGGAATCACTTAGTAGAAGTTCTTCAGCAACCAATTCAAATTCTGAAACTGGGTAATCATATAGACCAAAGCAAATGCTGCCACTATTAAGTAGTTTTATTTGACCTCTTACCTGAGAAACATAATTAGCACATAAATTTATAAATTACAAGTTATAATGCTGCAATAACACTTGACAGGATTTGTAAAGCAGAGTCTGATCATGTAATAAGTAAATCTAATTTGATATATGTATAACCTTTTCTTTTTTTTTAACGTTTACAGATGACATCCATCACTTCAACCAAGAAAATGGAAATAAAATTTAACCATAAAATATATAAAAGAGCCTAAGAAAATCTAAATGAATGGGCATAAAAATGGAAAGGTTTTCAAATGTGTGTTTTGATACGCAGTTTCAAAACAAAGCAACCAAGAAAAATGCTAACCAAGGTTGCGATATGCAACTGTTAAGCAAAGCAGGTGTTTCAGAAGGCTGTGTGATGAAGCAAAAATTCTTTCAACGCTTCGATTATGAGTGCAAGGGACATAGTATGAGGGCATGAAGTGAGGTATGAAGTGCAGCTGTGTTATTATGCAAGTAGCTTCGCACCGAAGGGGAACCCAACAGTGGTTTCTCACAAGGGATATAGTAGGATGGATGGCTTACAAGCTATGGCAGGTGGATACAAAATAGATCACAAGTCTCAGATATTGACAATGTGTGTGAGAATGACAAGATTGGGAGAGAGATAATAGAAGAGAGGAGAGGTTTATGAAATAAGTCATAAATAAATATAAATTTTGAATATAATAAAATATCAAGAAATGGTTTGGTTCCATTTGGACATGAACCAAGATTTATTCCTTGATTTGTTTTAGGTCCAATTAATTAAACGTGTATTATAAGTACAAAATATATGCATACATGATATACAAGTCATCAATGCTTTAGTCAACAAAAGCATAGCTTCACTCAACCCTTTTTGTTCGATGAAAGAAAAAAATTGAGAAACAAATTACATTTTAGTTTTGGAAACTATGAAATGATTGGCAATAACCAGCATCACAATGCTTTAAGAGAATGTTTTATTAAAGAAAACAATCTTGTTCGAGAATATTACCCCAAAATAAGGCCAATTATGTCGTTTGAAGACCTTGGCTAGCCTGGTTAAAATCTCAAAACATCAGTTATAGGCTACAATCAAAGCCAACAATTAACCATGGAAACTACCATGAATCACAGCCTAATCCTCACACTTATGTATGCCATTCATAGCTTCGAGAAATCATGCATGATGTCAAGAGATAGATAACATTAGTTGTGCATCATCTACAAAAAAGAATTGCATAAAGTGTATAAAACCCAATCACAAGCGCCATAAGGACCCCTCTAGCACAATCATACACCTTATCCCATTCACTACACTGAGTCCCAAGTACAAAAGATCAAATAATGTCCACTTTCTAGAGAAACTTTAGCCGCCCTCAGCCCATAGCACTAAGTCTCTCTTTGCTCCCTCTCCCGGGAACACCATCTGGCACAATAATCTCGCATGCTTGCACCCCAACATCCTCTAGTGACATCACTTACCCAATAAAGCTCCCAAGTTCTCACGCTGCGCATCTCCACCTCTCGTTAATCGCCTCTTTGCTTGTTAAGTGTCTCCCTCTCCCACCCATCACTCTCTCTACTTATATTCACTCAACTCTTGAAGAGCGCCTATCTCTTCCAGAAGCACACTGATGAGTGTCTCTCACCCACTCAAACGCAACAAACCAACAACACCCAACAAGCAAAGGCAATGTGGATGGAGCTCTATTATTCTCATATTTGTCCAGCATTGGAGTCATCATCATAAATAAGACTCAAACGTCTCTAGGGCTATGGGACGTTAACTCCAACACTGAGACATCACACAACAATTAGAGATTCAAGCCATTCTTTTCCTTTAAAAGATCATTTAAACTATAGATGTTAAAGAGCAAAGGCAATATCACAGAGGGGGGAAAAGTGAAAGTTCAAACAATTCATATTATAAAAGACAACTAGAGAGCAATAGAGCAGCAAAATGGTGTGCCCAAATAGCTCTTCAAAGGGAGTTTGTTTATAAAGATGCAAAAGAAAAACATCCTCTATTTTCTTTTAGTTTAGAGGATAGATCTCATTTTGTAAATGCCCAAGGCAGAATTTTGTACACATTTTTGTCCTTTAATATAGTAATCTAAAAGCAACATTTTAAGAACAATCTCGTAAGAAAAATTATTGGACTTTCAATATCCACAAAAATGCAACTCTCGCTCATGGAATTTCCAATGGATGTACGCACCATCACAATCTTAATGGGTTAATAGAAAGCCAAAAAACATATTAAATCAAATATTTGTCTTCCAAAAGATGTAAGCCCCAACTAAAACTCGAACAAACATCAAACTAGCAATCCCATCAATGAAAATTAAATCCACCAACAAGAATGAACAGAAGACAAACCAAAAATCTCACACGTGACTTGAACATATGTTCTCGAGTCAAGTTGAATAGCCTAGGAGCCCTTGTTGGTTATGTCACGTGACTAAGAACCTGAAGTGATCGGTCTTTGTGCCTCCAAACTTTTCAATCGCATGTCATAGGTTATTTGAATATCTGACCTATCATAAGAGATTTAATTATCATAATTAACTTTTCATGATCGAGTGAACTGTCACTGATGATTAGTGTCAATGCATCATACCCCCTGGTCAATCCTAAGACTACAGGGTCCAATCCACTTAGGCAATTAAAAGTGTTGACTTAAGAGAATATGAAGGTTGGAAGTTTATTTTAATTAAACATCTATATGGTTCACATTTAACAAAAAGGTTCTAAGTATTTAAATAAAGCACGGAAAATTCAAAAGTGCAAAGATAACAAATGTTTGATTAAGAGTGACTTGCTCAAGCAAAAGGGATCTATAGCAGATGTGGCCGATCAAAAGAGTTGACTTCCTCAAGTGGATGTCGCCTCCAAGCCAATACATACTCTATCCAAGCAAATTAAGTTTGGAGCCTTCAAGTGGATGTGTCCCACTTAAACGTATACTTAGACAAATGTAGAAGTACTCAGGCTACGCTTGAAGAAACATAATAGAACGAATGCTCAATCGAAGTGATAAGACAAAACAAATATATAGTCTACTCCTAGCCAAATAAAATTTGTCAGAAAAAAAGATTTGTTCAAATGGAGTAGATGATTTGATGCAAGCCTCAAAAACATCTATTATGCACAAATAAAATATTGACACCATGATCTGCTCAAGATACTTAGAGTAAGATAACGCATTGTTTCCAATTAAGATCTCTAATCGCTACAACTTGAAGACCCCTAATGTTGGTAGATTGAATCCATTGGCATATCCAAGAAGAAAAAACATCAAATATTGAAGAGGTCCACCATCATCCCCTAACATTTACCATCAACTAAATTCAAACATAAATATGAAATATAAACCAAAAATCAAGCCTACGAAACCTTCTTAATCAAAAGTGATCCCTTGCAAGCAAAAACTGTAATTAACTCGGGGATTAGGCCTATAAGAAATCATAACCCTCAAATAAAAAAAAAGATTGACACGACACCAAGGAAAATCTAGTTATAACAAATCTTATCTACCTCAAAAAAATTTGCTCCCAAGTATTTATACTTCCAGAATGCTCAAAGGGAACAATTTGGCAAGTGATAAAATACAAAAAAGGCAAGAACTTTAAGAAAAAATAATTTAATATTTTACATATGCACCAATCCTTCCACCAAAATTATCTCAACAGGAAAAAAAAATAGCTCTAAAAGAATATCAATTGTTGAAAGAGGATAGCAAAAATCAACAATTTCTATATTAAATTGTATCTTAGTATTTTGAAGTAAACTAACAAAATAATGCTTCGTGAATATGTAAACATAAAGTGTACCAAGAAAGTTATTTAATATTTACAAAAATAGAATTTCCCATAAGAGAACATCATTGCACTGATGGACGGTTAACTGTAATAAGTACAAAATATTATTTCAGCATTTTAAGCTGAGGGGCAGTACAAACCAGCACAAGTCACCAAAACCGCAATACGGAAGTGTTCCTAACAATCTGTTATATGTTAGTATCAAGACATTATCTAAATTACAGTAATATTTCACCGTTAATGTGACTGGTTTGCAATTGAACCGCTGTAGGAGTACAGAAAAAAACTTTTTTATAAATCATAGCTTAAACAAACAAAATACCTCTACTAAAACCTAAACAGAATACATCTACATCCCTAACCATTTTTCAAGCAGTAACAACAATCCAAAAAAAAAATGTTGTTTAATAAGATTAGTTCCTTTATGGTGATGGCTCGAAAGCTAATAGAATGCCCAAACGATTTACACTATCAACATTTTCATATTTCTCCCTTATTTTTTCCTTTTGCAAACAGCAGTTTCTTTATTTGTCACCAGAGGCCAATAGCCAAACCAATAAGGCACGCATATCAAAGTGACAGCAGATGATTTTTTTCATGACATGAACCAAGATCAAAATGGATCAAATAAAACATCCAATACACAGGCCTACAATCCAATGGAGGCATGTAACAGATTTATTCCTAATTGAGTAAACCAATTAGTGGGATAAAGTTTGGTTTCATACCAGTCTATAGGAATGTCAACAATAGCCCCACTCTTAACGTTAAACTAAGGTAAAAACAGTAACTTAACGTGTTGAATTGAAACCAATTTCCCTTTCAAATTCAAAAGTAATTTTGTAAAAGGAGGAGACTGAAAGTAAAACTAAATGATATGACATTATTACAGCCATTTGTGTAATCAAAACTTAAACAACAAAATATCTTAAAGCACTTGAGATGGTTTATTCTCACATAAACTAATTATCAAACAGCTTTGGCATAGTTCTACCAAGTTCAACTTTTGTACTAAAAAAAGGCAAATTTTGACTGGGTTGGGCGATTTATGCAATTTGAGGCTTGCATGGTCAATAGCCTTGAAACAATTTTCTGCTGGTTGAGCAAGTTTGTGTGACTGCCACAATGGGTCCAATAATAAGTTCACAATGCAATTTGGGTTTACAAAAGTCAAAGTATCAAAGCCACAGAAAAATTTCTAAATTGAGAGAATCGAGAGATGAAATATCACAGCAAAGAGCTCTTATATGATAGAAACAAATCCTTAAACATATGAAAACATTGGATTCAAAACCATATCTGATGATTTACAAATATATTGTTGTTGATATGTTAATTGTTGACCCTCTCCTTTTGGCCGGCAAATTAAATGAAAATATGTTATTCGAGTAAAAGACAAAAATAATCTCAAAACCATTAAAGGAGCCTATTTTTAGTCCTAAGCATTTTTCAAGTGTTTGATTTAGTCTATAAACAAGTCAAATAAAAACCAATTTGGTCATACCACCAACAATAAGATTTTTTTGCATGTAAACGGGTTAGAAGCTTTCATGAGGGGATTTTAAGTATTTTCATATTAACCTCACTATTTTGAGCTAGTCCTAAGTAACGAAATTGATTTTTAAAAATCCAAAAACCACCCATGAAAAGTTCCAATCCACCAATTTCTGTCCAAATAAATGATAAAGTTGACAGTAGGACCAAATTGATCCATATTTAGTGAGTAGAGAGATTAAATTGAAAACTTGGAAACTATCGGACAAAATGAACATGTCTAAGAAGTCAGCAACTAAATTGAACATGCCAAAATGGTATTTTCGACATTCACTCTTAATTAACCCTTCTTCATCTTGCTAAAGCTATTTCAAGAATCTATCATTATTTGATTCAAATTAATTTAAATCATACCATTGACTTATCCTAAATGGATGCTTGCATCAAAAAGTCTTTATAAGGTTAGCTCTTACTACAATTTCCTTATGCATAGAAATATTCTTACTTTTTCTAGTTGGACCCATACGACCATTGTTCAAAGAAAAATTGCCTCATTTCGGATGAATCATTTATATGAGCAAGATTCCTAGCAAAATCTTTCTTCCACGTATGGGATTTAATATTCTACAGCTAGTGCCATGTGCAACTCTCTTTCGAGGTATGATACTCACATTTTCTTTAAATATAGCTTTATCACTAAATTTTAGAGGATATTTCACCAAGTTTGTTATAATTATACCGTTACATTGCGTACTGATGCATCACTTCCTTGTTGTGAGATTTATTTATCAAGGAAAAATTCACTTTCAAACATTTGATTGGAGAGGAATAACATATGTTTTTCCAATATATTTTAAGGGAAAAAAACATCAAGTGCGACTTAATATCTCAAGCTTATTTTAGTATAAATTTTCTAGTCATGAAAAAATGCTCTTAAAATTATATAACAAAATTAAAAATAACAATCTTCCAGATAAGCCTTCAGAATTATACAATTCTAATATTTGATTCTTAATTACTTAGTTTTTGTAAACCTTTCACTTTCTTTCTACACATCCATAATATTTTAATTGTGCTGTTTTTCTATTTAATTAAGACCACAATTTTCCAGCTTTCAGTTAGAATATTTTTGGCCTTCAACCTGTCTTAAATTTTAGGTGAAAACAAATTTAATCACGTGTCTATCAAGTCCATCCCCAGCCTTAAAAGGACCAATTTCGTAACAACCAATAATATAATGCACCATACCCATCATCATCCCTTCCCACACCTCGTATGCCAACCGAAAAAACAAATTAACCTCATTCCCTTAGAGAAACATAACGATCCATGCAAACCTGAAAAAGCACATAACTATATAGCAAATAATAACAGCTAATATAATATAAAAATAAAAAAGTACCGAGATTTACAACCTGCACCCTTGTCCATAGCAAAGGTACCAAGGCTTTTGCGTTACCCTCCACATAAACATTAGACCAGAGCTGAGCAGTAGGAAAATCCAGTAACGGTGTCTCCGTATGTGTTGTGTAATTGTCATTGCTTACTTTAAGACTCTGCAAAGTTCTATCAAAAATTGTACCAGCTGCACCGGCATTTTCTGTACATCCAACACTCTGCCCACCTGCTTGATTCAAGAAAGCATAGAATTAAATGAATTGGAAAAGAAAACAATATTAAGGGAAGAGCTTATTAACAAAATGGGAAGTGCTACAAAATCATGGTAATAGTACAGAACGTAAATTACAAATAGTGTGTTAACAATGTGAATAAAGAAACTACATATGCCTCATAAATTAAACAGAGAAAAACCATTTTATTATGAGAATGGCTCTTAAGCAACACGATAGCATGTCAGAACAATATTTGAAATTTTTTTTGACACGAGCTTCTGTCAACTAATTTTAACAGTGGGAATCTCATTCAAACAGCAATTAAAATAGGGAATTTTCATCCATGGAAAATGTTTAGTATTTACTTAGGCAGTCCATGAAAACCAAAAGGCAGAAAGATGTGATGAAAAAAATGGTTTATATACCTACATATAGATGTGGTAAAAAAAATGTTTATTTAACCAAAAGTTTAAAACCTTGAATACCTGCATATCCTGTAACTAATGCTATCCCATTTTAGCACACATAAATCAAGATAGATAAGAACAGTTTGATTTTATTAAATTAAATAATGGCCATATCTTCATGTATGAGGCAATACTCCAAACAAAATATGATTCAAACAGAGATATATGCTTGGTTCAAACCATGAACAGTAATTGTTACATCTTGGATGGCATAACACACGAGAGATATCCTGCCGCCACCGCCACCGCCCCACCCACTCCCTCCAGCAGCACTGATAGTACCCTTTCCTTTCCTAAGCATCAAGCAAAAACAGATATCAGACAATTCAATATCCGTTAATCAACATAAAAATAATCTATTTAAATCTTAAAAAAAAAACGTGTCATCCAATATGTTATCAATACCTAGGCTAAGGCCATCATTTGTCACATTAAAAAAATAAAAGTTCAACAAAAACTTGCATGCAAAACTACAGAAAACTACTCCACTTAGGCATTTGCGCTCAATTTAATCTACAGATGACTAAAACTAGTTCAGGACAATGTTTCCAAGATAATAAACAAAAAAATTTCATACTGAATGCTACAAAAATAAGACCAATGAGAGCCATATATTACCATGCTATTGCAACACGATAAAGTAGTTGTTAAAAGTTGTCATCACACCCCATTTTAAAATAAAAATAAAAGTGGAAATAGTCATGTCCTCGCAACATTTTTTTCATGCATGCCACAGTCTCACGGCAATTATCTGAGAAGAAATCACTTACATCTCAGACTATTCATGATACAAATTGATGTGTTAGTGCAACAATTTGAGAATTCTGAACTGAAAAAATGATTTTATTTATCGAGTATAAACTTGAATTTTTTATAGCTAATTGTAATGATATTTTATGTAAGTTTAAGATTTGTTTTAATTAAAAATAACAGGACATACTGTCAAAATAGAAGCATTTGAATTGCCTTAAAAAAATTCAGGAGGTGGAGATATCAAGCCTATAAAGAAGCTTCAAAGCTAAAACAAAAAAAAGCATGATACCCCAAAAACCACCAGTAATGTAATTTTCAATGTCCACACAAAGCTAAAACAAAAAAAAGCATGATACCCCAAAACCACTAGTAATGTAATTTTCAATGTCCACAAATTACATATTGCATTGACAAAAGTGATAGCAAATTCTCATGGGTAGATTATTTCCGGAAAGCTATCTTAGATAGTATTATGCTGAATTGTTTCAAATAAAGTCATTGCTAGTTTAATTTAACATATATAAGCTGCACCGTCTTTTCTTCTCGGTGTAATGAAGCCGTGGAGGAGGTGCACACACAAATTTCGCATTTCAATTGTGCATTTACAGCTCAAATCAAAACTATGGTATGGAAATTTTCTGAAAAAAAAAATGAAGAAGAAATGCATCAAGGAAACTCAAACAATGTTTCAGCTCTTAAACCAAGCGGACAACTTTGCTACTGATTTAACCTGAGTGAAGCTTCCCTTTTTTAGAAGTGAAAAATAGCGAGGGTAGCAGTATACTTGTGCAAAATAAGAAAATTCAGAAGTGCCAATTCCATATTTTAAAGTGCAAAAGGCAAGAGTTAGATTCAATGCCAAGTGCTTCACTCCTTCAACTGATTGTTCACATGGAGTCTCAAGTTCACTATTGTAGGCACCAAAAAGGGAGGTTGAGGATTTCCCAAAGTTCCCAAGACAGGGTCCGGAAAAGTTTGCTTCACTAGGCTTCACAATAGCTCCCAACTAACTCTTCTTGCAAAAGAAGGTCACCCCACTGTTGACCTCATTTTCAATGAGGTCTTAGTCTCCTACTCTTAGAACTCAGGATCTAGCTTTACGAGTTCCTTATTGACCATCCAGAGACCCACACCACGTAAAACTTCAAATCACTTCTTGACCCATTTTTGTGAAGACCTCGTATGAGTAGTCCCAAGCACTCGACTGTTAGTTGCAAGGGCAAAGGACTAACATGCAGAGGGCCCGAAAATGAGTTCCCACAGGATTTAAGAGGTCTTAAGTAAACCCTTTGTGACTAGAACACTCGCGAACGCCGCAATTTACACTCACTGCACCACATACGATGTTTACTTGAATTGAACTGATCGTCTGCAAACTTGTCCGGACGACCCCGGATAAAGAAACAGATCACGCAGATGTGTCAAGAACGTTGACTTTAACCAGAAAGAACACCCATATTGTTGTGGTTCTGCACGCACGTAAGCTGCACGAAAATCGATGCGTATTAACTTTAGTTAAAGGAGGTGGGTTTCGGCTTAGCCCAGGTTCGATTCGGGCTGAATACAACAAAATTGAGTCAGGTCGAGCTGATAACTCAATATATAACTTGAATTTTGAAATTTCAAAATTAGCTGCCCAAACTCCCTTGATTAAATTTAATTAACCCTTAACCCTTCACATTCAATTCCCTGCCAATATGTTGCATAACGCATAACGTCTCTATGGAATTCAAATATACAAAATTCCGCTCCCTCTTCGCATGGCTAGAGATCGCTCAGTCCGGCTCCCCCTCTATTGCTCGGCACTGAAAACTCCTCCTTCGGCTCGATCCTGTCTCTGCACCGAAGCATTTGCCTCTTCCTCCTCTCGTTTGACTCCTGACTCCTACCTTCTGCACCATAGTTTCCCGCTCGACTCCTCTCCCCCGCACTGAATCCCTCTCCTCTGCACCAAACTCATTTGCCTGCTTTCCCTCTCCCGCTCGCCTCTCTCTCCCTAACGACAAATCCCGCTCGCCGCGACAAACCCCGCCCGCCCCTCCTCCCACAAGGAAACGGCTCGCCTCACCAGCACGCGCCTGCTTCGCCTTCCCTTCTCCCGGCCGCGTATGCTCTCCTCTCTGCACCGCAAACCCCCGCAAGCCTTTCTCTCTCACACTAGCCCGGAAGCCCTCACATCCAGCACTCGTCTGCTTCACTTTCTCCTTTCCTCACGACCGAAGCTCCCTCGCTCACAGCCTCCCTCTTCAGCCCGAAGCTCCTCGGAGATTAGCGCTCTCCCTCGTCGATAAACGGCTAGCCATCGACCAATCCCGTGTTTCGTTTTTGCTCGATTTTCTTGCTGCTCGCCCAGTATTCTTGATGCTCACTTAGTTATTTGTATAGTAAGTTGGCCTTTACTCCAGGATCTGATTTTTTTATTATTATTAAAGCTACAGTTAGTTTCATGAAATAGCTTTATTTCTTCCTGAAAATGCTTGGAACTTTCTAAGTCATTAACAAATCAGGGGGACCTTTGACCTGCTGCTACTTGTTCATTTAAGTTGAAACAACTTGAATCTACATATAAGGGGTAGCTTACACACAAAGAGTTCTAGAGAGGTATAATACATGTAGCTTTGCTTCTCATGTCAAAATCTGATATGGATGGGCTCCCTTGGAGTATTTATAAGCATGCCACATTATTCATATATTAGAATTCAAAACATCTGTTTATATCCAAATTGTTTTAGCAACGGAATAATTGTATGTGAGTTACTTAGCTAATCAAAAGTTGCTTGCTGATGTTGAGCTTTTATCGGACTTAATTGTGCTTTTGTTCATTTGGAACTTCGCTTCATGTCTCTTGTTTAAAGTTCAGTGTGACTGTCCCTCACTTAGCTGATGTTCTTTGCTTTATTCATTTGTTTATTTGCATCCACTTCAATCAAACAAGTTTATTTGATCAGGTTTACATGACTATTTTCATGATTTGACTTGGTTTAGATTTAAGGGATTGTTTTCATTACTTTCTTTTAAACCAACTTCTCGGTGTGCCTTTGCGAGGTAAATTCGGACATGGTCGAGGCGTTAAATTATCGTAGGGCTACCCCTGAAACAGATGAAAGATACGACAACAAACTTCACGCCGGTGAGATCTCTCTGAACCACTCAATAAGATGAAATGTATAAAATAATAATAATAATAATAACACAATCATCATAATTCGTTCTTTTGAATTTGTGGGTCCCTTGGATGAGGTAACCCACGGTTGCTAACGAGATCTCCTCAGTTTAAATGAGCTTAACGACTCGTTTAGACTAAGTAATTCAAAAGAAAATAGCGGTATCGGAACAATGGAACCGTGAGATCCTAACAGGTGTCGCTCTAATCAACTTTAACCCCTCATAATACTTAAACGACAACAAAATTAAAACTTTGGAACACACCTGGTAAAACATTTTGAACCTTAAATTTTAGGACTACTACTTCAACGAGGAGCTTGAAGCCAACTTTGTGGGCAGCACGGCGATGAGTTTGTGAGTATACGCCGTGGGCATCACGAAGAGGACCTGCAGAAGGACATCTTCGAGAGAGCAAACGAGTCTACAACAGCAAATTTTTCCTAAGTTTAAACAAACAAGTCATAGAACTTCGAGGTAGTTCGTCTAGCACGGCGTAAATTCTTAACTTATCTTTAGGCCTCTGCACAGTCATGTTGAACAGTTTTAAGTCCTAACTCGACCTAAGAGTCTGAGGTTGTCGTTCGGTACAACTTAAACCCTCATATCTCTGCGGGTTATCTACACAATCGTATATTATGCAAATGTAAGTCTCAAATAATAAAATTTGCAGAATTGAACACTCGAATAACATCATCTTCAAAACGCAGTCACACAGTAGGATAGTTTGGGAAGTCACTGAGAGTTCTCCTCAGGATCTTTGACGTCTCATATATTTTTCTTCCTTTGGACTCCTGAAAAAAACTGTTGCTATTTGAGTCACTCTCACTTGTCTTTTCATGTCCTACCGTGAAAACTTAAACCTTGAATTCTTAAAGACTATTATATCTGATCATTATCGAGAGTTTTCTCAAGTGACCCCCGTCATTTTGGATGTAATTAACTATAAGGGTTTGACTCTACAGGGACCTTGGAACTCAAGAAAAATAAATCATATTCAATCTTTATATTTGATAAGAGAACTTGTCGGTCACACATAAAAGGTTCGCAGGCCAAACAGATGTCACAAATCTCATAGTTTGTATGATTTGGTCTACCGCCGAGGTATACACTTATCTTCGGGAATGTATAGTATTCGCGGTATCGGACACGATTATATAAACTATTAGACGAATGAGATCTATTGGTTTCATTTTTCAAAAATTAAAATACACTACTTTCAAAATCAAAACTATATACCTATTATAATAAATTAAATTTCAAAATTATTTTCAAAATAAAAAAAAGTTGACCGAAACCCACCCAACTATTATTTAAACCAAGATGACAATCTATTGACAAGAGCTTTACATATCTAGCCATCATTTAATCAATCTGCATTACTAAAAAGAAAAGCATAATTTAATAAACTTTAAAAAAAAGAAGAGGAAAAGATTGTGAGCGTAAAACAACTGCTAAAACCGGTAAAAGAAACCAAAAAAAAAACAGAATAACCACATATAAACCCTAAATATTGATAAAATTTTATTATGATTACAAGTTCGCGAATCTTCTAAGTTGAAAATACAGCAAAGTTATCACACAACCAATAATATAGAAAAGCAGATATAATTAAAACTTACAATTTTAAAGCATTAATCAAGATACTTCCACCAGAACCACCACCACCTTTGAGACCTCCTGCGCCTCCATCAGCAGTTACTAAGCCATCCACATTCAGTAAATCCCTAACGTCAAACTTGATCCTCCCACCACCATCACCTCCATATAGCTTGTCAGCAGATGTGCTGCCTCCCTTGCTTCCATAACTCCATGGTTCGGATAATGTTGACCAAGCATAGACATCTCCACCCCAATTTGTTTTGTTGCTCTTCAAACAAGAAGCACCGCGACCACCATGCCCTCCGCCGGCTCCATCATTGCCGCTCGGTGTGCCACTCGTTTGCTCGGGAGGCGGCCCACCAGAGGCTCTTGTATTAATGGTTGAATAGGGGTCGAGAGTAAGATTGGTTGAAACAAAAATGATTGATCCCGCAATAATTTCTGCATATGAACCAACTCTAACTATGCCTGAGATGTTGACAGTCACATAACATCCTTTTACAGCACATATTATAGAAACACCAGGAGATATCTCTAGGTTCCCAGTCCCATATATACATAAGTCATCCAAGTAAGATACATTCGAACTTATGAAACAGGTTTCATTCAGTGAGCCAATACCTTTCAGGTCCTGACAAGAAACAGAATTCAAAAATAAACAGGAACCCTCTTCAGCCTGGTTATACTGGTTCCTTCGGTAAGAATCAAGTAAAACTGGTCGAAAAGACCCTGGAGCAAGCCCTCTTAAATCTAATCCTTCAACCGCACAATCTTCAAGGCTTGATAAAAAAATTGATATCAAGATACAACCTAAATAGGATGCCAGAATAAACCTCCAATTTTGCGTACAAGATCCATGGCAATTCATGCAGCCAAAGAACATGACAATTCATCCAATGTTTTCTTATCAAACAAATAGAAAAGCATATGGTAAACCTGGATTAAAGCACAAATTCTGTAAGCATAGAAAGAGTTACTAAGCCACAGAGCACACTTGCATAGAGTTTCTGTTTCCCTGTTAAAGGACACGAAGAACTGTTACAAATAATATTAAAATGTAATAAACTAAAAGAGAAATTAGAAGGTGGCGTTCCAATTCAAGTTTCATTTAATAGAAAGGATTACACACTTTAAACAAGAGACAAATTGTTTTGGGCATTCCTGGAGTAAGGAATATGGTATTTCTTGCCCAAAACAATCCCTGATGACCCTACTTTATTAAAACTAGTTTAGCCCTGTGCATACTAAGAAGAGAGGATGAGAACCTAGTGAAATTCTAGGAGTTATAAAGAGCCAACTTAAATGTCAAATATCAGAGCCAGTAATGGAGTAACTTACTAAGATGCTAGTCAGAACTGTTACATAAAGCTAACAATAAGGGTTGTTTCGCACGGATAGTATCAAATATATAGACCAGCAAAGATATTATGCCCAAATTTGATAACAGAGGATTCACACAGGCTGAAAAGAGGGGAAAAAATACCTAAATTAGTTCGAAAATCTGAAGAAACAATCAGGCTGTAGAACTGTGTGAACGGGTTGCTCTTTGGGGACTTTCAGAGGTCAGTTTGCTTAACGAAAAAGAGAGGAAGTAAAGATAAGATAATTTCTGCTTGGAAAAAAATAAGGAAAAGTAGAGCAACATAAGGTGTACAAGGATCATGTAAACAAACTTATTTACGAGAATTAGGAGAGCAATCATGCAAGCTTGTAAGCCTAAACCAATGCAATAAAACTTATCATGAATTCATCCTTTTCAATGCAATGGCGTCTCACTTTTTCCCAACATGTTTGATGCCAAGGAAAATTTTGTAGCATTTTTTTTGTGCATAAGTTGTGACATGCCTTCACTTGGCTAATGTTGGGTGCATCCCATAACACTTCCATGGTGAAAATCATGCCCCATTCCAGTATAGAAAATGATGAGGTATGTCTCAAGCCTTATTTATATTGTCTTAAAAGTTCAAAATGAGATCCACCCGAAAAAACATTATGGTTAAACCCAACATGCATCTTCAGAATTAATTTTTAATGCAGAATACAAGATCGAGATGGCGGGTGATGGACGATTCCAAATCAATCTGTAGAAAAATAAAAGTAGAAAAGCGATGCAAATTCATATTTTTATAAGCAAGCCTATGGTTGATTTTGTAACGAGAAGCCGAAATAACAGAGAATGAACTATTGTCAACAGTCAAATAAATAAGGACAACATTATAGTGTTTTACTAGCATGTATCTCATAACTATTCAGAGTCAATGAAGCAGTGTGAACCATAGAATTGATCTAGTTATGATTTCATGCCCGGGTATTTATTTGGTGTTGTTTTCATCATTTCGGTTCTTAATGATGAGGGTTGATGCTGGACCACTAAAGGCATGTTTCTCTAGTCCAAGGTGAGTTTTGATAAAGGATGTGTGAGCTCAAAAAGAGTCCTATTATGCTGATTTTGCATAAACTTGTTCATTAGTTAATTTCAAAATTTTCTTCATCCTTTTATTCTAATAAGCCAATTTGATTGTAGCCCTAAGGAGAAATTTCAAATCCATCACAGCCTTGAATCTTCACCTCGCACATAATAATGCCATAATTGCTATGACGTAGACACAAGCTCACTCATTGCAGTACTTAAGATGATAAATTGCAGCACAAATAGCCACATTGTTTTCCAATCCATTATGAGAAGCTACTTGCCTTCTCTATCTCCCCAATCATGACAGGCCGAAAGCTCCATTACCGACTCACCCTAACGCCTAAAAACAATCTCGGCTGTGAAAAAGCAACTGCTTGCACATATCAACCCTAACAATAAATGAATCATGTCCCATCTGATGCTATGTGCTCTTATTATTAATTACAGGATTGAGGACTTGCATCATTTAGAAGAGAAAATTTAAGTTATGACTATGATCCAAGATGACAATCATTTTGAATAGAAGGATAAAATCAGCAATAACGACATGATTCTACAAAAATTGAGAAACCTCTTCTTTTATTAAAGCCATACTTGAAATAAAATTATGTGCAACAATATCATAATTCAATTTGCTCACTAACTGATAGCATTCAACAAAACTGTGGGGTCCAAAGTAAGATCATAAATCAAAACTTTGCCATATGGTTTTAAAAGATCATTTCTTAAATTAAACTGAAATAATCTTAATCAAATGAATGGTCAAGTTATAGAATAACAATCGCAAATCCTGAAGGAAATATAATGTCAGTTATGCTGCTTTTATCTTAAATTTATACAGAAGTGATATTGCCAACGTAATCACCACAGTAAACATTATCTTAAATTTATTAGAAAAAATTATAAAGAATGTAATTACTATAAGAAGAGAGCAGATTTCATCATTGCGACTACCTCCAGGATATTGCCACACACACACACACACACACACACACACACACACACATATATATAT